ATATATGTATATTTTCTTTTTTCTAAAGTTTCATCAATCAATTTGAAGTTGTTATTTTTACTAATCTATCAGGTTTTTTATTCTTTACCGCAGGAAACCGTCATCATTTTAGTGTATTTCCTTAAGCAAATACCGGAATTTCTTTACTTTAACGTTTCCGTTTTTCTAATTGATGACTACTTACTTGAGTTTCAGTTAAATTTAAATGTCGTGCTAATTCTTTACGTTCTTGTCCGACAACATAATGATTTTTTTCAAATGCATTTTCAAGTTTAAGTAATTGAGCTGGTGTAAATGCTGTACGTACACGTTTGGGTTTACGAAATGAATGAAGTATAAGTGCTGCAGCTGCTTCTGGACCTTAAAATAAAGAATAAAAGAAAATAAAAGACCAAAAAAATATTAAAATTTTAATTACTAGTAAATCTTCCATCAAATAATCGTCCACTATGTCGAAGACATTGAAGTTGATATTGAACAATTGGATCTAGACTTGATGGTGGTGGTATCCATGATGTTGCAGGTATATAAGATTGCATAGGTGGAGGAATATCACGAGTAGAAATCTTTGCTGAATCATCATTTTTAATAATATCATTTATAGAAAATCCCATTGATTTTCGAGAATTTGATGTTGTTGCTATTGGTCGTGATGGACGATGAACAGGCATAATATTTCTTTCTTTCTTTTTTGTATTCTATAAAGACACACACACTCCTGTACTTTAATTCAATTATGTTCGATCTTCCGTTAGAATGTTTTATCAATTTCTTTTCTCTCGTCTAATATTGACTCGCTGATTTAGTAGAATAACAACAGCCAAAGCAATAGAAAAATATCTTTTATTTCTCTTCTCTCTCTCTCGCTCTCCTTTTTATTTCTATCTGGTGCATATATATGTAAAGACAGAGAGAGAGGAATGTGAATTAATTTGTGCTGAATTACCTTCTTCTTCGTCCTATCAAATGACACCTGAGGCAATAGACAATGTATCAAGCTGTACAATGATTGGATACATACCTAAAAGAGACATAGAAACGATTTAAAGGCAATTATAGTTCTCTCTTTCTTCTTCTTCGTGAACGATTATGATTATAGTCGACAAAAAAAGAAACATGATCTATCATCAATTGGGTAGTTGCCCTACGTTTCAAACCAATAAAATTCGTTCTATAAAAAATACATGGATATGTTGTTTTTTTTTGATATGTAGTAAAATATGATATACGTTTTAGAAGAAAAAAAAAGGCTAAAAATGAATTTATACAATTGATTGGCGTCAGTTTTCAAATTAATGATCTCTTTCATTAGCATATTTTTCTTTACAATAGTATACATGCGTCTATATTATAGTGCGTCATGCTGTTTAGAACAAAATGAAAAAATAATTTTAGGAACGACGCTTATCATGATGATAATCATCATCATCATTGAGTTGTATTTATTTTCAAACAACATGTGTTGCCCTTTGAAGCAAGTTCTTTCGATTTCATTTTCTTTTTGTCTTAACATGTCTTCGAAGTCAACAGCTGTATGGTGATGTGAAACAACTAGAGAAAAAGAAAATTGTTTCGAAACTATGCAAATGAGAATTGTGTTTCTCAGGGTATCATTCATCCGTAAGGATATATTGATTCGATTAATTTTAATTATGTCATAACACTAAGAGAGAGAGAGAGAATGATGGAGAGAATATAAGAGGTGTTATTCTTGAAACATCGTTTTCTAACCTCTCGACACATGTATCAATGGCCGATGGGCAAAGAAGAGCAACAACATCAACAATTGATGATGTGTCGTCGATCGATGATCAACTGGGGCGAACGATAATTGCAAGAAAGATTGAAATCAAATTAATCCTATACTGATTTTTCTTCTCTCGTTTTCGTTTTCGTTTTTCTTCATTGTATATTAAACTTTGGAATAATCATATAGAAATCTATCATAGGGATTATTATTTCATATCTATCTAAATATCAATTTTATTTTTTTCGTCTTACAAAAGAAAAAGAAGGTGAAGATATTTGTACATGATTGGTTGTGTATATTTGCATAGAGCTTCTGTCCTATGTCACTTCACTTCATCAACACCCTTCGTTTGTCCAGACATCAATATATTCATTCAATCAATTGTTGCTTTACTTGAGGGCTAATTCCAATTATAACAAGAATATATATATATATATGTACTAACGAAAAACTTTTCAAAATTATTCTATATATATAGTTTTTATGAATGAAATAAATGAATTTATACTTGACTTGATTTCTAGATTCTTTATTTTTTTATCGTTGTTATCTCAATTGCACATCATGTTCGATTGATTAGCTTGCTTGATGTTTGAGAGAAGGAGGGAGGAAACTATTCAATTAATTTTTCTTGTCTTGTGGTATACCTTTGATCTATTTAGAAGAAAAAATCAACATGTGCACAACACTTATCGTTGTTCAGTGGACAAAATGATTAACCTTGAATAATAAAGCTTCTGTTCTGTTTGCTCTTGAATACAGTCGCTACCTTGATCTTACTTTATAAGTTTAAAGAAGCGCGTCTGTAATAAAAAAGACAACAATATATTTTCAATCGCAATTCTTCTTAATCTGTTCGAATAAGTGAAGAGACGTGACTTTCTAATCTCAAAGTATCATCATCATCTAACACCAAAGAGAACAAAAAAATCGTTTGATGTGAATATGATATGCGCCATATAAACATGATGTTTGATTAAAGATCATCGACTATTAACAATCAATCGAACGATTGAGAGTATATAAAAATCTTTATTTTTCTTCTTATTATTTCGATTTTAGAAGAAGAAAATAAAATTAACTACTACTACTGTTTATGTTTAAATTATTTGAAAGATTGTTATTTGAAATTCGATCGTTTTCTATTCTTCATTCTACTTACCAATTAGATGGATGAGTTTAATCACTATATTCTTTCGATCGATAAATGAATGACAAGATAGATCTATATGAGGATTAGTCAGGTGCATAGATAATATATACGCGTGTATATGTTTTTCAACACTAAGGTGTGAGAAAATTGTAAGAAAATTTTTTGTTCAATCAGATAATAGAAAAAAAGATAAATTTTTAATGAACTTCTTTCTTATAATCATTTAAAAATAATACTAAATCCTTAGTATGAATGATTAAAGAAAGAACCAATCATTCTAAATATAACAGATAGATAGATAAGATCATATGAAGAATTTTGATTCGTATATATTTATTGATGAAAAAAAAGAAAATGATTTGCTAAGATAAATGAAAGAATATATCACTCTTATTCGATTTGATAATAAATGATTCATTTCAATATGATCATTTTACTTATTCTTTTATTTTAGTCAATGAAGTGTTTCGAAATAGAAAGAAACTTTAAGAAGACAATTAAATATATTTTCAATTCGTGTATTAATCCTAGAATAGATAATAACACCTAAGTCCATAGGTAATTATAATCAGGGGAAAAAAACGAAATTAAAAGGAAGAAGAGATTAGAATATGAGGTAGATAACGAACATCATGTGTACAATTGTAATAAGTAGGTGAAAATAGTGACACAGAATCTGGATTAAATAGATTTTAATATAAGACAAAAAATTTAGTAGTAATAATAGTATTCTGTCATCAGTTGATAGACAAAAATAAAATCAGCATTGAGATTAGTTTTATGTTCAACCAAATCAGAGTAACACCGACGACAAATTTTTTGTAATTATATGATATTATCTACTCTCACACATTGCATGGAAAACAATAGCATCCAACTCGACACATGTTTATAACCTTGCAAAGAGTGATATTGAATTTTTTCTACTACCTATTATCAGTTAAAGATTTTGAATTATATTAATAACTTACATCCACATTAATAGAACTTTATACAAATGCCATCTTATCATAAATGTCTAATAAATTAAGTATTTTCAAGTAAGCCAAAAATGTATTTAAATGCGAATGATATACTTTTATAATTTTATTTCAATGAACGAGAGAAGTTGTAGAAGTTAATAGAGATAGGACAGTTCCATATTAATTCCATTCTTGGGAACTGTTAAATAGTTCTTTTGACCAGTTCATCTGAACTTAGAACTGCGAACTGTCCTACCCTCATGAGTTAATCAATCAATGAAATTTGAAATGATCAATAATTTTTACTCGTACATTTAATCTTGATTACACCTAAATGTTTTCATAAATGACTATATATAACAATCTCCTATACAACTGATCGCAAAAATTGGTTAAGTTAAACATAACTTGATTGCTTTTGAATGTATTATTCTTATAGTCTACATTTTTTTGTAACAAGTTTACTTCTTTTATTTTCTTTAACAAAACAAAAAAACAATGAATTACTGTTTTAACTTTTGCTCAATATCTAAACTGATTTGATCGAGTTTATTACTCGATATAAACATGATTTTTCGTCGATGTGTCCATTCTCCATCAGTTGATTGAACAGGATAATAATCACATGATACTGTTGCATATTTTTCAAAGATTTCTTCTTCACCATTAACATAATAAATTGTATTTGAATCACTTTTATGTAAACGTAGTTTTGAATGAATTACCCAATAATCCATTTGATGAATAATTTCTTCTCGAAGTGTACGTATAGCAGGTAAACTTATATCAGCTGGAATATTCATATAACGTTCATTGATAAATAAACCACATTTTGAAGCTAAATATAATTTTTATTTAAATCAAATAACTATGGGCGTGTAACTCAGGGGTAGAGTGTTCGCTTCGCATGCGAAAAGTCTTGGGTTCAAATCCCAACTCGTCCAAAACTTTTTTTTGTCTATTATATATTATTATTTTTATAACTTACTTTTAAGAATTTCTTTAGCTTGTTCATTATCCGAACATTTATCTAATAACCATGCTTGTATTTGTTTATTATATTGTTGATCAAAACGAAGTATTGAACATATACCTAAAACAGGATTATCATCATCTTCATCGTCAGTTTCATCCATTGTTGAATCTAATGGTTGATAAAAAACACTACCACATGTTTGTTGAGTAATTAATTGAGTAGTTAATTGATTTAAATCAAGTACAGATTTTTTTATTGCATTACCAAATGATTGTTCGAGAAAATAATGTACTGCATCATGATCGGTATCAATTGGTGAACGAGCTTCTAAATCAATTTGAATATTTTCTTGTGGATTATTATCCATAGGTTCATCTTGATCTTCATCATTGTCAGATGAAGATGCAGTAGACGAACTTTCAGCTTCTTCTGCTTGATTATTAGGTCGCTGTTTTTTAGATGAACGTGGCATAATATTTAAAAGTGAAGAAAAATCTAAAAAAAATAAATCATATTAAAATTGAAAAGAACAAAATTCCGATATAATTTATTATCTATTAATTGTTTTCGTTTACAACTTGATTTTTCTCATGTAGTAGACATGACTCATTTATCATTACTAGGTTCGAATAAATTTCTTGATAGGTTAATATTTATAATTTAGTAATAGTAAAATATTAAAGCTTACAAAAGATTATATCTAATTTATAAAATTTATAATAGAAAATTCGAATATATTTAATTATAAATAATTAAAATTTTCGACAAAAACAGCTTATAGATATTACATAGATGGCAGTAAATATCATTTATGAAATAGGGAAGTCGTTCGGTGAACAAATCTGAAAATGGCTCATGCCGAAAACTGAAGTTTTAGTATTGTAACGTAGTAGCGATTCTATAGATACTACTCCGATGGATAATAATTGCATTCAGTATCAAATCGATTGACCTAAGCATGTTGTCAATGCGAGCTCTTTGTCGATTGAATTCTTCATAGTTAAAAGATTGATTCTATCAATATTTAAATAGTACATTAAAAGTCAATGGAGATCTAGTTTATGACCTTCTGAATGTCACAGTATAAATTTTAAATGATTTTTTACGTTATTCAATCTAATAAATTTACAATTTATTTTATTTTGAAATCGTTGACGTTTTCTTTCATAGAAATTTAGCAAAAAAAAAGAAATTTTTGGTGCAATATAGATTACAATTGCAACTTGGCTTGTAGTTCGAAATATTTCTTTGAGAAAATTCTTCAAAAATAGAAAAAAAGGAAATATCATGCATTAACACTTAAAATACAATTTGAATCACTGTTAACGATTACTATTGAATACGATAAATCTGATGATCTTCGTTGTTGACATTGTTGCGTATTATAATATTCTATTCTCCAACGATCAATAAATGCTAATGTATATTTTCTTTCGATTGTTATACAAATAACTGTGAATAAAATCATTAATACTGTTATCAAACTAAGTATAATATGTCCATAGATAACAATTTGATTAACGGAAAAATGAGCAAGTATAAGTGACATTCGTACAAGAAATTCCATAAGATATCCCATTGACCAAATACTTGTTATTAATTTACATGATAAACGAAATGATTTACAATTTAAATAAAGCCATTCATACACTTGAGCAACTTCTTGTTTATGAGATACTACTCTTTCTATTGTTACTTCTTCTTTAAGTTTAACATAATTATTATCAATTTGTTCATTTTCATTAGAAAATAAATTATCAGGTAAACCAACATCCTTTCGTTTTGTTGGTACTAAATCTTGATAAAAATAATAAGCCATCGGTCGCCAACGACAACGATGTTTTAAACATCGAAATGGTATTAAAGTTATACCAAAAATAAATGATAGAACACCAGTTATTAAAGATTTTTCTAATAAAAGTATAATCGGATTACGTGAAATAACAGCAACCAAAGCAGTAACAGCAAAAGAAAAAAAAACGAGAAATCCAAGTGCATCAAACGTACATAACCATATAGCTTTGAAAATAACCATAAACAAAGGTGGACTACCTGCAATTAAAAGTGCAAAAACAGGTCTGATATATTTTTGAAGATGTATATAGATAACAAGCGGTAGAATAACATCAATAATAATAGTAATTAAAAACCTTGGAATATGATGTTTAAATGTATGCCAAACAGAGAATTTGATATTTAATGGTTGTTGTTGGTGTTGTTTTTGTTGTTGTGGTAGATCAATAGATGGTGATAGGATGGCAACATCATGAGTCGGATACATATGATATTTTACTTGAATACAAAAATAAAAAAATCTAGATGAAAAAAAATATATGTTAGGTTTTTATATACGGTACTTTAAATTATTTTTTTATATAAATGAAAAAATAATTATGATCAATTATTGTTGATGATATCATTAGATTTTAATTGTATCTATAAATTGAAATATCTTATGACTGAAATGCACTCACTTACTTTGTTTTTTATATCTATAAAGAAAATATTTAAAAGTTCAATATTTATTTCTTTAAATGTCAAAGTGACACGAGACAAACTTCTCCTCAGTAAGCTCTTGATACTCTCCGGTCAATTAAATATACATTTCTGAAAGCATTATTTATAAATATATATACATACCTCTATGATTCGATTAATATATTTTATAAGTATATTGATTTTCTTATATAAAATCGAGTGGGTTACATGTATTAGTAAAACTGATGTGCGATATATTTGTATGTTATTTTATATATATATTATTATCGATCGTTTCAATCACATATTGTGTGTCCTGGTTCGGTAAATAAGAAAGTATCGTTGCATTCAGATGAAAACCATGCATCGGTTACTGTCGACAACGAATAATACCGAGTAATTGCGCCATAATGAGCAACAAAAGAGAAAAACTTTGAATGCCTGACTTTTTTTTTGTAATACATTTTCATATTTCTTTCCATTACTGCTAATTTACCTTGAAGTATTTCTTTTCTCTCTCTCTCTCTTTTTTTTCTTTAATATAAAAATCAATCAGAATTTTTTTTTTCTGTCAACATACCCAACAATCAACAACGTAATGCACTTTTTTTACGACAAAATTTAACTTCATAAATAAGAGAATAGTTTAAAAAAAAGAAAAATAATAATTGAATTAAAAAAAATATATATATTTATTATTTTATATCAGTACAAAAGAATTAGATAATTTAAATATTAATATTACAATCTAAGTTATTTATTATTGATGATGATGATTGTTCATGTTGAGTAATTAAATAATTTTTTTTGTATTTTTCAATAAATTTTAATGTTTTTTTTCTTTCGTTTGTTATACAAATAATTGAAAGTAAAATTAATAGACTTGTCATTATACCTAATATAATATGACCCCAAATAAATATTTGATCAACAGTTAAATGAATTAAAATAAGAAATAATCGAGCAAGAAATTCTAAAAGAAGTCCAATTGACCAAATACTTGTTGTTATATAACATGAACGACGAAATGATGAACAATGTGCATAAATCCATTCATAGACTTGAGCAACTTCTTGTTTATCAGTTAATTTAGGTAATATCCTATCTTCAAGTAATTCAATACATTGATCATCAACTGTTTCTTGTTCATTTTCAAAGATAACATCTGGTAATCCAACATCTGCACGTTTTGTTGGTACTAAATCTTGATAAAAATAATATGTAAGTGGGCGTATATGACATCGATGATGACAACAATGCAATGGTATTAATGTTATACCAAAAACAATCGAGATTAAACCAGTAACAAGTGATTTTTCTAATAGCAAAATAACAGGATTACCTGTAATAAGAGCGGCAATAGCTGATGCGGAAAAAGCAATGAATACAATAAAACCAAGTGCATCGAATGTACGTGATAGGATACCTTTGACGATAACCATAATAAATGGTGGAATACCAGCTATTAAAAGTGCATGAACTGGTTTAGTTCGTTTTTGTAGAATAAGATATAAAACAAATGGGAGAATAACATCCACAAGAATAGTTATAAGAAAACGTCGAATATGATGTTTAAATGTATTCCAAATAGAGAATTGTATTGGTTGTATAGGTATCGATTGTATTTCTTGTGTTGGAACTTCTAGAAAAATTGGTGGACAATCAGAATCCGAATCAGAAACCATTTTGTTAATTTTTTTGCACTTAAACTAAAAAAAAGAAAATAATTTAATATGACAGATGAATCATAAATTGCACCTCGAGAACAAAAAATAATTAACTTGTCATTATTTATATGACGATCATATAATAATGATAATTAATCTTCTATGAATCGAAATTATTCAAAAACCTTCTATTTGTTTTAAGATGATTAATAAGCATAACTATCCTATCATATTATTTGACCTCATATAAATATTTTTGTAAACAATTCGATTGTTTTTCATATGCATTCAATGGGTGTACTTTATTTTAATCATGTTTATACAATCTAGAAAAAGTATACTGAAATGTCAGGTTCTTATATTGATATGATCAGATTGACGCTTATTTTCTTTCTAAAAATACAATTTTACTCAAATTCATCGTTGAAACTAGACTTTTAACTATTAATAAATAACTTATAAATTAAATATATTCATTATGATAATATTCATAGTAAAAAAAAACAATGCTTACTTAAAATATCAATATTTGTTAAAACATTTATTCTTTGTTGTTTTTTTTCTTGCGTATTATATTCACGATGTTTGAGTTAACTGTAAGAATCATTGATGCATACATACACGTGAAAATATAATTGCATTAAATTTTTGCTATTCTGTCGTTTGTATGTTTATACACCCAACTGCTTATAACTATTGCCATCTTTTTTTTTTATATATTCAAATGAATACTTAAAGCACGTTTTCTTTGCTTTTATAATCACTATCGTTATAATGTTATTTTATTTGACAACAAAAAAAAAAACGGAATCAACACGTTTTTTTTTTGTTAAGTTTGTTCTCATAAAATTTCTCTTTTTTTTTATCGTTTAACAGTAAAATATGGATATTCGAGTATTATTTTTTTTTGCAATCATAATAAATATTAAATTGAAAGCAGAATTATTTTTTTGAAATCGTTGTATTAATGAATGAACAAATAATTTAGTTAAAAGATTCAATAATTGATGAAAAAAAA